CTTTCTTCCGGACTTTAATTGGGGTTCGTGGGTGGAAAATATGAAGCAGGAAGGAAAAAGAATCGTACGTGAATAGGTGGGCATATAAATCAACATGCTTGCTAAAACAGAGAGAAGACAACGGTAATTTGACATTATGCCTTTATGAAAAAAATATTAAGGAAAAGGGAATTTTACATAAAAAGAATCTAAAAGTTGTCGTATGTAATTTAGATTTTATAGCAGTTAATCCAATTTTGTCGTTTTGTTGCGTCATTAGCGGCGGTAATGAGGCCTACCAAAGTGACACGAACGCGTTTACTGCTCTTAAACAATTAACCTCGATATTACAGCATGTGAGAGACAAAAAATTCTCGTTTCCAGTGGTCTTTATATAAATCAATACTATACGATAAGCGCATGTTCGAAACGGAATTTTTAAGGGAATTAATAACCGTAACCTACATTGTTAACATTTTAAATGCAGAGTAATAAATCGAAAGACTCCGGCAAACAGAATCAGAAATGTGTTTATTGTGAAAACATATGACTTGTTATTTTCAAAACGTAGTATAAACCAGCTTTGACGTAATTATTAAAAATTTTCATTTACATTTCCACATGACAATTATAATTTCATTTTAAAATAAAAACCATAATGCCAGCATGATATCAAGATCATCATCCATAATAATTTCTACCAAACTGTTGCTCGATTAAAAATTGGTGGAAGATTATTTCTACAGAACTTCCCTCGCCCTTAAAGGATAATCCCATTTTTTTAAAATATTGGTTCTATAGTTTTTTCGACAGAATTTTCCTCGCGCCTGAAGTTTAAGTCCTACAAATCCCGTTTCTATGAAAAATTATAAAATTAGATTTTGCGATGTTTGTTTTGTGTAAAGCTCTATAAAGTAAAAACCTGCGGCATAAATAACACCTCTGGATCCCCACAGTGCAAATTCCAAGAGGACGCCCAGGAGCGTACCTAGATTCTTAGGGGCCTAATGGTATTATTTATTTGAGAACCCTTTTTTCCTATTGTAAATACGAGTTGGTTAAAAAATTTAATTTGCATATTTTTAATACTTTAATATACATATGTAGAAAAAAATGAGAAAGTAGAAGGCCAAGGTGTAAAAAAAACTTGCGACTTTTCGACATTTTCCCAACTCCTGTTCATGTTGAAACTTAAGTTTCCGTTTTTTGCTTCCACTGAGATATTATTTCCGCTCAGACATATTATTTAATTTAATCACGAATGAATAAGTTGTGTTGTTAATTTTGACCAACATCAAGATGATCTGAATACCGTAAACACTGTTGATAATAATAATAATTCCAAACAAATTTAATTATGCAATTGGATTTTTTAATTTTTAATATACTATAAGATTCGCTGATAAATGGGTAGAAGGTACTGTACACTTTTGAAATTACTGAACGGACAGTAAAGCAACATAAATAAGAATGAGAAACGATACTGAAAACAAAACATAGCCGTCCGGTGGCGGAAGCCCTTTAAGCAGGCGACTGACTGGCTGCAAGTTATAAATTACTGCAACGGCCGGAAGTGAACAGTTTTGTATTTTGCACAATCTCGAGATCATATGTGTCAACAAACACACAGGCGAAGAAGAAATTGTATTTTTGTAATAACCAAATTAAAAACAAATAAAATATATTTTCCTTTACATTTCGGGGGTCTCATGTTCCAGCATCACAAGCATCCCTATAAATCTGCTGCTGGCCGAACACTGCACAAATTCGGACAATGTAAAGTAGTAAGGTTTCCAAATATTGTCATAATTCTTATTTTGTCATTATTTTATTATTACAAAGACGAAAAAATGAGGTAACCCGTTCTTAATTTAACCAATAAAAAATTTGTATTTATTATAGTGTTATCTCTGTTGATGACGTCATCAACATAGATAATACTAGTGATTGCACAAAAAAAAGTTTATTTCTTTTCCTTCGCCCCTGAAATATATTCAACGATATATAGCTTTTTTAAGAACCTCTAACAATGTTCTATTGCAACATTTCCGGTAAAGTGGAGTTCCTGATCTAATCAATAAAATAAATTGACTCATTCATTAATTTTTTTGAGTCATCCTTTATAAGCAGTTATAAAAATATGAAATGACGTCATCAATTTTTTAGGGGAATAAACAGATATATTTCTATCCAAAATTTACCTTGCTTACGATAACTTTGAAACGTGGTCAAATTTCGAATCAATCGAATTCGGTTCTGCAATTTAATTAATAAAATATATTGACTCATTCATTTGTTTTTTGAAGTCACTCTGTATAAGTATTTTTAAAAAGTATAAGTGCGTTGATAAACGACAAGTATGAAGTCCTAATATTTTGCACATTTCATAGAGGATTTATTCGGCAAAATTTTAACATCACGTCATCAATTTTTGGGAAGCAATAAAAGAATAAATTTTGATTAACGATTTACCATGATTACGATAACTTTTAAACGCGAAAACTCGACAGCACGACAGAAATTCATACACCACAAGTGCAAGACTAGTTTATTTTATAGAATTGTAAATTTTGAAGATGACATCATTCCATTGGTGGTGGGGATGATTCGCCATCAATATGATATTTTTGATATACATACAAAATTTGACAACAATCGGCCCAATAGCTTCGGAGATTGTTTGTCTAATAAAAATGCGGACAGACGCCAGACAGACAAACAAACGGAAACAAGAGACCTATTTACCTGTACCCTAGGGGTCATAAAAGGTCAAAAAAACATAAAAGTAGGGAGTCGGACGAAGGACTCGATTACAATACTTTTTTCGCTTACGCTCGGAAAGTTAAAAGAAACGGCTAAGTTTGGCATCGAACGTGCGATCGCCGGTCCGTATGCTGATGCCTTATTAGCCTTCGCGGTAATTCCAGGAACGGTTGTATCCCCAGTTAGTGGTAAAATGTTTTATTCTGTGTTAACTTTTGGAAGTTTAAGGTAAAACTCAAATCAGATTTATACACCACAAGCATAAGACTGTATTATTGTATAACATTTAATCATTTTAAAATCCTGTAAGATGACGTCATCGAATTGTTGGTGGGGGTGATTAGCCAAATTTTGGGTAGCGGTTGATCATATACAAATACATATTATATTCCTAATATACATACAAAATTGAGACAGGCGACAGACCAACAAACAGACAGATAGAAACGGGACATCAATTTTTTCGTACTCTATGGGTCATGAAACGTCAAGAAAACATGAAACGGGAACTAAAAAACTGTGGAGGTATATTACTAAAAAAATTAGTCGAAAGTTATTTCGACAGAAATTCTCTCGTCTTTGAAATGTAGTGCTTCTTTGAAAAATGATAAAATTTGATTTTGCGATTTGCGTTTTGTGATAATTTCTATGAAGGATTTATCAAACTGTATTTCAAAAGCAAGGGAAGTTCTGTCGAAATAACGGTCGACCAATTTTTTATGTAAAAAAAATGTTTTAACGTTTTCGAATGTATGCATGTTCTTAAAAGATTTACAGTTACAATTTTGAAAGTCATGTTTCCACGGTGAAAAAATTGGTCGACGGTTATTTTCTCAGAACTTCTCTTGCTCCACTGGCGTACAAAACACCCCCATAACCACTACGTCACGAAGGCGCAAATTCTAAGGGGGTGTACTCCACAGAAGTGCGAACAATGTGAAAAATATTTAAAACAGATAACCAACGAGAAAAATGTAGATATTCTCAATTTCTCAATACGTGTTTAACTTCGACTGATTTTGTTTATGGCTCGAAAGAACTCGATTACTGGCATATTCAGATTACAAGCAACAGCGGTTCAAAAAACGAAATTTGATTGATTTTATTTCCTCAACGCACAGGAGGGTATTAATTAATTAATGCATGAATGCAAACTGAGACACTAGCTGTAATATTGTTGTGTACTAGTGTCTAAGATGAGGGCAGATTAAACAATAAACACATACAATAATAACAAACAAAATCAAGGTAAATTCATCACCCACAAATGCAGGAGTATATTATTTCATACAATTTTGGTAATGTTAATTATGTTCTACCATCTACATGATATTCCTAATATACATGTAAAATTTGACAACAATCAGTTCAGTCTAATAAAAATCAACACAGACATACAGACCGAAACGAAAGACCTATTTTTTCGTTCTTTACGGGTACTGAAACGTCGACGAAACATGAAACTAGCAAATCGCCCGATGGACTCAATTATTGTGCTTCCTTAAAAATCATAATTTAAAAGCTATTAGAATCAATTATTTTTCGTTTCTCTGGGAAACATTACTGGCACAGCAGCCACCACCCTATCTGTAGGTTTACATTTCGTATATTTGCAGCAATAATAAATAATAAAATATTAGGGAGATTAGCCTGAAGCAGCTATTACTGGCATCTGCGTCGGCGTCCCATCCAGGTAAATAAGGAGTAATAAACAGGAAAGTTTTGTATACCGTTGGAATATACGTAACACAAGGATAAATCAACCCACTTTAATATTTATTCATAAGAGCTGTACAAGAATAATGAACAACTGTTAACCACCGTAAGCGGTTAATTAAATTTTACGCATTCGTGAAGTTTTTATCTTCGCAATTTTGATTATCATAAACAACGTGTCGTTGTATTCTCTTACTTCTAACAATCTAAGAATCCTCCTCATTATTTTCCTTTTGCTTAGCGTATTCACCTTTATTTAGTGTCTACACATTCCGTTTGTTTGCTGTTGCAGAAGTTGAATTTATATCTCATTAAAAGTTTTCATTTGATTTCGTAACTTGCCAGTGAAGTTTCTAGAAAGCACGGGTATGATTTTATTTTTCTGTTAAAGCAGCAGAGAAAACTTAGGTTGAATCTAACTAAAACTAGAGTCTTTGATCTACAGAAAAAATATATCGAAAAATGTTTCACTAAAACAAGCCTTTAATGTTTTTCTGTCGTAAATAAAATGGCGACATTTACAGTTGTTTTTTCTTTTTCAGTGGAAACGTACAATGGAACAAACCTTCAATTCTGGCGTTTGGAAAGAAAACAAATGGGAGCCTACCTTTGTATAGCAAGTAATGACGTGCCACCAGCAGTCAGCAAAAGAATTGCACTCAACGTAAACTGTGAGTTAGCTATTACTAGATGCAAAATCAGTTCAGGTGTAGACGATATATTTAGTTCGATTAATAATGTTCCACAGAAAACTATCTTACGCAACATCTTTAGTTACTAAAAATATTTTCTGCATTTCTGTTATTAGTTGCAGTTATTCTAGAACTGAAAATAATTTTTTTCAACGACATTTTTTTGGGGGCGCACAAATATATTTTAATTAAAAATTTTCCATGCTTACGATAACTTTAAATCGTCTGCAAGATTTCAAAGCTTTCGGTTTTGCAGACTTAAAATTAAATTGCAAAATGTTTGATGATATGCCTATGTTTCAAATGAGTTTTTCCATGTCATGACGTCATCAACATGAATAATACTAGTTACAACGCAAGGGGAAAAAAAAGAAACAGCCAACTTTTACATGGAACGTGTGCGACCCGCAGGTCTGCGAGCGGATATTGTATACGCCACTCCACGAAGGTTTATATCCTATGTTAGAGCTAAAACGTTAATATACGAAGTATTTTTTTTGCGAAAATTTGGCCGTTTACTCAGCATATTTTACACACTTTAAATAGAATTCATTCGATAAAATTTTGAGATGACGTCATTAATTTTTAACATATTTTTTGTTTAAAAATTTACCATGCCCACGATAATTTTAGTATTATTATAATCAACATCTACAATATTTCAAAGCATTCGGTTTTGTAGATTCAAAATTAAAAAAATGTTATACAATTTTGATATTTTTCCAAAAATCTAGATGTCTCAAGTAAAACCTCAAACACGGATTCATGAACTACATGTGTACATCTATGTTATTTTTTATAATTTAAAACCCATTTACTATGTACAATTAATGATGTGACATCATCACGTTGTTGGTGGGAATAATTTGACAACAGGCGGTTCGGTAGTTTTGAAAATGATCTGTGTAACAAAAATCAGCACAGACGGACAGACAAACAGATAGACGGAAACGATAGATTTATTTTTTCATACTGTGGGGGCATGGCACTTTGAGAAAATATATAAGTAACAGTCACCCAATGGACTCGATTACAATACTTCCTTAGCTTACGCTCGGGAAGTAAAAATAAAATTCGCAAAATTCAATTTTATAATTTTTCCAAGAATTTGTAATTTTTGACCTGTACTTCGTCGTGTCTAAATAACTGTAGACCAATTTTTATATATAGGGGTGTTAAATCCAAAAATCACTTAGAGAAGGCGTTGGAATTTCATTTGACACAAACGGCATGTCTGTTCTTATAACATCCATTTGGCAGAAACATAACCTGTTCCTGTTATATGCTATATGTTATAAGTAGAGAGCGGATTTTATGAAATTTGCATATCCGTTATTTTTTGCATATAAGTCTTGATATTTAATATGTGAACGAATCATGCTAATTAAAAATGAATACAGCTATAAAAAAATTGCATATTTGCATATATTTGCCTTATGTTACATATTTCACGTAACGGGTGCATATTTTGCATTTTTATCAGTTTTTGTGGTAATTTGAAAAAAAGATTGTCTTTCTATCAGCATTTATCTAAAAAGACGAAATTTCATGAATCATATTGCAAATATTGTCTTGAGCTTCAAATAATTAGGAAAGGTTTGGGTTTTATGGTAGTTTGGAGGAACCAGTGGGTGTTAAGCCACCCTTCCAGGTAACTTCGGGTCCTGATTACTTTTGGAAATACCGTTCATTCCCAATATTTTCGTTCGTTACTTAAGTGCATTAATGGTATGTTTTATGGTGGTCCAAGGGACGTTATCCTATTGTTTTTCATCGTGAGTTTGCATTCAAAGCATTTAAAACGACACAGGTGTGTCAATATGTAGATAACTCAAATTAATTTATGGGTTAAACCTTTTCCTGAACTTATTCTTCAAGAAGGAACTGTGTTTTGTCGTGCCTGCTCTAAACCGGTAAGTAGTATTTTTACATCTGTGGACGCAGTATACGCAGTTTTTCTATTTAAAAATACATACTTTAGAATCACCGGAAAACCTTTTTGTTAGAATATTTCGAAAAATATTCAAAATTAATTGTTACCAAAATAATAATTAAATAGTCGATTACTACTATTTTTTAATTCGTTGTGTTTACCTATTTTTATTTTTTAATATAAGAATATTATCACCGGAAAAACTTTTTGTTAGAATATTTCGAAAAATATTTAAACATAAATTGTTACCAAAATAGCAATTAAATTACTACTATTTTTTAATTCGTTCTGTTTACCTATATTTATTTTTAATATAAGAATATTATCTTAAAAAATGTGATTTATGTGTCAGTGAGATCTTATTAAACACTTTGCAATGCGATTGATGTATTTTTTTGTAATAAAAAGTAAGCACGGGAAACCTGTTTTTACAATTTGTAAATAAATTTAGTTAACTTATTAAGCTTTTCTTTTAATTTTTGGAGCATATGCAACTGCATATCTCTGCATATATTAAGAAAATTACTGCATATTTGCATAAATTTGATGCATATTATATGATCATATTTTCCAAAATTTTGCTGCATATTTTCCGCTCTCTAGTTCTAAGAACAGACATCCCGTTAATACCTACTAGCTTAGTTACTTAGTATTAATATGTCAATGTAGTAATATAAATGTAACCTAACTTATTATTTGTCGTTTTGGTTGTTTGTACATCTTTTTTCGTTAGTCCTACATATTAGTTTTCTCTGTTTTTACCAAAAATCTATCTTTTTTAAAACTACATTGTCATGAGTGAATCAAGGGTATTCGAGAATTTTTCAACTTCAATAAAAGAATTTTGATCTGTGCAAAATGTTCACCGAAGAACATAAAAATTTATATCGAAATCTTACTTACACAATGGGTATAAAGTCAATAGGTGTATAAACAAAAAAAAAGCCACACCTTGTTTCCTAGAATTTCATGAAGAACTTCCTGATGTTGCTGCAGTGGAAACAACTTTTATAAATGCACTGCCCTATGTAATTAAGTTATTACATGACAGAGGAAACATTGGAAAACAATCAGAGACTGGCAAACCCACAAAACTAACCCCCGAGATTGTGGATAACGTTACACAAATTATGGATGATTTCGCAGAAAGTCAACTTACCATGCAGAACTTGCCACAATATTGTTAAGAAGGACGTGGAGCTCTTTCCCTACAAAATGCAAATGTTTCAAGAACTCCAACCACTAGATTTATGAGAAGAGAGTGATGTATTGCAACTGGTTTAATCGAACGATGGATAATAATCTTCTTCATATAACCTTCTTTAGTGGTGAAGCTTAGTTTCATTTGTCAGGGTACATAAATTCCCAAAACATGCGAATGTTGGAGTGCAGAAAATGCTCATTATTTTCAAGAAACACCTATACATGCAGAAAAAATTCGTGTTTGTGACGCTTGTACGGACCCATTTTCTTCTAAACGATGTGAGAATATGCTTCAGGAATACATTGACCAACTCGATCCTGAGGAACTAGAGAATGGTTTTTTCAACATGACGGTGCAACAGCTCATACAGCACAAAGGATATTAAATTTCTTCAGGGAATAAATTACGAAGACCGTTTAATTTATTAGTTACCACGCTGACCACATATTTTTTTTAATGCTCACCTCAATCACCAGATTTGACGCCCTTGAATTATGTCGTGTTCCTGACGTTGAAAAACACCATCTGCAAGCAGCCCTTGCATAGCATCAAAGATTATTGTCCGATTATTGGAAAAAATATGCAGCGAAGAGTCAATCTATATCTAGAGGCTGAAGGTCAACATTTCCAGTAATTATATTGTAAAATAAGTGTGGTTTTCATGATTTAGATTGTTATAAATAAAAGATTTTGTATGATTTCTAGAACATTTGAATTATTGTTTAACCTAACTTTTTCAAAACGGCGCTGAACGTTTAAGCAACGCAAAATACACCATTCAGATACAAGTTACGCCACACTGCTGACGTAAGCGTCATGGGTAACTAGATCAGAATTCTAAAAAATCACCCGGTATAACTTTCTACAAATCCATGTTATCGTTCGATCTCCAATCCGATTAAGTCCTTTCCTGTACGAATCTATTATAATTTGGCTAATACCCATTATCGACACCAACTTATTATTTGTTGGCAGCGTGTACTAATGCGATTAGTTCTCTGACATGACTGCCGAGGCCATAAGTACATGTGTTCGGACATGGGAATTTAACACATGGCCATAAACTAATTAGGAAGTTATCTGAAACAGAAGTTAGTTGATGCGTGGAGGGTAGACGGCAGCCCTTACGCAGCCAGCCTCTCGATAACGAGTTGAACCAACTTGGCGAGAAAGGGCAGGAGGATTACGAGAATCCAACGCTATTCTAAGACGCCAGCTAGTTATATTCGGCTAAATGAAGAGGTTTCTTTTAAAAATCCTGACTTGGGAAACAGGACGTTGGCGGATGCTATTGTCGTGTGCACAAATAGGAGAAACATTGTTTTTTCGTTCAGACAACGCAAATAACAAAGGAGGATCAATACAAACTCAAAAAATATTTAAAAGAAAGAAATACTGCTAGTTTTCAACAGAAAAGAAATTTAAATGTAGGTCTTATTGTCTAATTAACTTTGTTATCAACTTAATAGTGTTTAGGAGAGGTGGTTATTGACGTATATTTTTACTTCTCGAGCGTAAGCTAAGGAAATATTGTAATCGAGTCCATCGGGCGACCTGTTACTTTCATGTTAGCTCAATATTCCATGACCCCTAGAGTACAAAAAAAAATGTCTCTCGTTTCCGTCTGTCTGTCTGCCGTTTGTCTGCGTTCGTGGGTAAATTTGGCTAATCATCTCCACCAACAACAATTTGATGGCGTATGAAATAATATACTCCTGTACTTGTGGTTTATGAATCTACCTTGATTTTGTTTATTATTATTAGATTTGTTTATGCTTTAATCCGCCCTCTTGTTTAGATACATAGTAACCCAACAGTGTTACAGCTGGCGTTTCAGTTTGTAAAGCGCCTATTCTAAGGTCGCGAATTTGAAGCTGGCGAGCGGCCTCTCTTATTTTCCTTAATTTGAAATAAATTTAATAAAATTAATCACTCTTTAATTTTTTATTGCTCAAATTAAAAGCAAGTCATCCCATTTTTTTTCGAAAATGTGAGAATACGCACTTCTTTATGTAGTAATGATAAAATGAGAATTATAACACTAATATTCAAAACATTTTTTCGATCGTGGCTTACTTAATAATTTTAGTCCTCTGTTTTGAGGAGACAAACTCATTCAAACAAAACAAATTTCTACACGACATTCTTAGATGTTTAAACAAACATAAACTTTCGAAGTTAAGCATAGTTTTACTGTGAGACCATGTTTTCCAGTTGGTTATCGGTTTTAAATATATTTGACAATGTTCGTACTTGTGTGGACCGTGTCCCCTTGGAATCTACGCGTTGTTATGCCGCTAGTTTTTACTTTACTTTTTTTTTATTCTAAATTCAATTTTGTGAAACATATAGATGATGTAATAGCAAAATCTTTTAGGATGTATGGTTTTGTTTACAGAAATTGTAGCGAGTTCTCAAATATAAGAACTTTATGTAATTTATATTTTGCGCTTATTAGATCTAGATTGGAATATGGTGCTATAATTTGGTATCCCTTATATGATGTGCATGTTAAAAATATCGAAGCTGTTCAGCGTAAATTTCTCAAATTTTTATGTTATTGTGTAGATAAAGTTTATCCTGAAAGGGGGTGTGATCATGCTGCACTTCTGAGTAGGTTTGAATTTCTAGCTCTCCAGGATCGGCGCAATATTATTGCCATTAAATTTGTTTTTAATTTATTTAACAACAAAATAGATTGTCCGAGCCTTCTGGATAAATTTAACTTGGTCGTACCTCGTATTAATTCACGCCAATCTCAAACTTTTTATAGTCCACCATATAAGACAAACGTATTACGTAAATCTCCAGTAGTTGTTATGTGTAATAAGTTTAATGAAATATCTACTCATTGCGATATACATTACGATTCGCTATCGGTTATAATCAAATCCTTTTTTTGTATTAGTAAGTAGTAAAATTTATAGTTTGTAGTTTTGTGGGAGCTTTTATTATTAATAATGCCTTATGTTATACTTAAGTTCACTGACTTTGGAATTGTATGTTATTTATTTACTGTTTGCGGTTGATTTGAGCCTAAGTTTTAGTTTTCCTTGTTATTGGGTGTAAACCTGTTAGGAATAAAGCCTTATTATTATTATTATTATTATTATTATTATTTATAGATCAATATAAAATAAAAATCGCAAAATCAAATTTTACGATTTTTCAAACAAGTGGGACTTGTAGGACTTGACCTCCAGACGCCAAAGAAGTTGTGTCGAAACTAAGGTAAAAAATAAAAAAAAAATTTCACCTTAGACGTTCAGATTTTTGTAAAAACCAAACAATAATTAAACTGCATAACAACATTTTACAGTTTAACGTAGAAACTGCAAATCTGAATGTTCTGAAATCTTGTAAAGGTTTCAGGGTTGTCGTAATCAGGTAAATTGGTAATCAAAATTTATCTGTTTATCCCCCCTAACAACTTGAAGATACCATTTCAAAATTTTATTGAATAAATTCTATCGAAAATGTGAAAATATTATGAATAATCCATATTGTGGTTCATCAATGCATTCATATTTTTCATAGTTTATGCATAAAGCAATTTAATTGATGAAATCAAGAACGATTCACCCCATTTTCTGGAAATTTTCAGAATACAGTACTGTACGTCGACCACCTTACAGAACTGTATTTTTACATTTTCTCGACTTTTCATGACCCCTAGAGTACGAAGAAATAGGTCTCCCGTTTCCGTCTGTCTATCTGTCTGACTGTCTCTCTGTCCGTCTGTTTGCCGCCCCGGATTTTTATTAGACAGATAATCTTCGAAGGTGCTGGGCCGATTGTTGTCAAATTCTGTATTTATGTTAGGAACATCATGTAGATAGTAAAATGCTCTCGACCAATTTTTTTACCTTAGGAGTGTACATTTTTAAAAATAAAATAAACATTTTACAATTTAACTTCCAAACCGTGAAGCTGCTACCTGTGAAATCTTACAAACGTTTTAAAGTTTTTTAAAATAAATCGTTACTCATTTTTTAAAAGTTAAGGACATAATTTTATGATAAAATTTTGTGAAGAAAAACTCACTTAAAACATTCGCATACCTGTAGTTTAACAGTCTATACCTATTTTTAATTTAACGTATGTAAGAGACTGAATTTGTCTGACTGTGCTGCAGGTGCGAATGTAGTTCTGTCTAAACAACTTCAGACTAATTTTTAACCAAATAATATAACCTGTAGTAGTATTCACGATTTTCTGTTATACTGTTCGTTTTTTACGAAAAATGATTGACAAAGTGCGATTCTATGACCATCATACACATAAAATAGTTTTAGTTTTGCCCCTCCAGCATTCCTGCTTTCACCTAATCTTGCGAAACCTTTTACACATCTCAAGATCTCAGCTGCTTTACTGAAGTGTCATTTACAGTGTTGTCTGTATAATATATCATCATTTATCAAAGGGCTAGTCTTCTTTCCGTACATCCAAGCAGTGAAAACCTAACCGTTTGCTTACATTAATTACACTTATTATTTTACATACATGTTCTGAAAGTCTGTTGTACTGTACGTAGAGAATGTATAAACAACTGACTGTACTACTATTAATTAGGAAGTTGCTTTTCTCTTAAGTTTAGTAATTAATAATTCAAAGCCAAAAGTTGCTTACTGTTTGCACATAACTCGTAAGACTAATTTAATATTATTATCACTGTTTCGTCATTATTATTCCTAGTTACTTATTTTGCGGACAACCAATAAAATAAGAACACATGTCTTGCATTGCAAGCAACTATCTGAGTACCAATATAAAAGCAAATAAATAATTGAATATCGCTGGAAAGAAATTGGTTGAAAGTAATTTAGACAAAACTTCCTTCTCCTTGAAGTAGAGGCTTACGCTCGGGAAGTAAAAACAAAATAAATTTATGAAAATCGTCAAAATGTTGCTGACAGGGTTTTAAAAAAATTTGAAAAAATGTAAAATAACTACTAAAAGTTTGACTCCTAAACACAGCCTATTGTGAATCTATAATAGTGCCTTTCAGAAAACTGCCACAGACTTATAACTGATAATCTTGGTTTTGTCTGCTTTTTTATGCACCCACCAAATCGTAGATTTGTTTGGGAAATGCACTTCACTTAAGAATTAAATGCATTAAATTTTCCGAAAAATTACTAAATATATATATCTTTGCTGCAATATGGCTTAAAATAGTTATATGTTGATTCGAATGCATTTCTGATTTTGTTAAAAAAAATCCTATTATATATTTATACATGAATTATTTAATCTACTTTTTTTAAAATTACTGCCCCACATAAGTGCAGCTCATGTGCTCATCTCAAGATGTTTTCCAACTGGACTTATAAAGTTTTCCAATTACAGTCACACAGGTCAACAACTTATCGAGTCACTCGAAACCTTCTAGTTTAGGTTATTAGGACATTCTCTGTTCTGATTTTTCAAAACTAAATAAAATATTGGAATGAGCAAAACTGAGAGAAAGCAGACTGCACACTAACAGAATGGTGTGTTCCATATTTAAGATAACGCATTGTATCACGACAATAACAATAATCATAACGGAGTCTGCAAATTGCTTAAATCTGAACTTTGGGTATAAATAGTTGAGACGATGAGCATTCGTCCTCCCTAGGGTCTTTGCTAGACGGAGCATAAACTTGCAGTAAACAAAGTTGGTAACATAAGATTCGCCTTAATTACATGAGAACTTTTTTCCTCGTTAACATAACGAACGAAATTACAATATAGAAAAATAAATGTTTGTGCTATAAATTTGCCTACAGTGGCAGAACCAAAACTTAATCGTCGTCTCAGTAATTTACGCGCAACTGCGTTAATAGAATCCTTATTTTAATTAATTCGTTTCAGTTGCTCCTGCCATTACAGTGCCAAATCAGCTGCTCGGAGCACCTCTGAACACAGACGTTCAACTAGAATGTAACGTAGAGGCCTTTCCTAACACAATCAACTACTGGATGAAAAGTGAAGGCGAAATATTGTTAAATGGGTAAGTATATTTTTAGATGAAATTTGTCTTTACGGTATAAATGCGAGTTGAAATTCGCTCGTAAAATGTAAAACCTCCGGCAAATTAAGCCTGAAAAAGCATAAAGCAAGTATTAGTATTTTATTGTGTATAGAATCCCCGAGGGAGCATAATGTGATTAACACGGTTCGTTTCATGTTCATAAAATATTTAAACCTGCATTAGACTTATTTGAATAATAAACTAAGCTTTATCGTGCATTTTTATTTTGAATGTCAAACAAACCTGTTAAAAGTAAACGGGAATCGGATATCAAAAATTTGCACAAGACTTTGTAAACAGAGCAGAGCTTTACACAAAAGCCGTTTTATCCTGAAGCGCTTTTATTAGTGCTCTAATTAGAGCTGGGAATTTCAATTGAAAGTAACCTTTCATCTCGAGGAAAACAACCTGTAAATCCTATAATAAGTAAGACAGGCACTTATCCTATTATCGCCACTTTTTGAACAGAATTAATTTTCCCGCGCTTATTAGGTTATTACACAGAGGCCGCTTCATTTCACTGTACTGTTATTGCCAATACAAAGCCAATGTTACCATCCGAAACGGAACGTAGTTAGAAGAAGTGAGTAAAATTGTTTGTGAGACAATAAAAAAGACACAAAGGAACAAGAACAGGTACAAATGAAATTCTTTCAAGGAAGTGGATCATTTTATCGATTGTGCGAGGGATACACATTCTTCTGTTCACAATCAAAGGCTTTAACGTTGGTTAATGCAGTCGAACAATGAAAAGTTTTCGTCGGAAACTACATTTTACCGGGATTATTACAACGGGTAAAAATTTATTTGGTAAAAATGTCGAAGCACTGAATCCCCATAGAGAGTTTGGCATTTTACTAACGGGTTATATTTTAACAACGACACGAAGAAAATAGATTGAGAAAGCAGGCTTTGTAAACTCTGCAAGGAGCAAATTTATACTCAATTTATATCATAAATTTTGTTTCGAACAAATAAGAATAGAACCTCATAAATCTGATGTTTGACAAATGCTTAATTAATCATCCGCTGTAAAACAAACTGCCGCCACAACTAGTTAATCCCCGAAATTTACCGTTTTCAATTTATCAGTAATCGATTCAATAATTGCGGCATCCATTATGACGGTAGGTACCTAATTTACTACCGGATTTTGTTTGCCTTGCAGATTTTTAACAGAATTACTCACTTTCAGCATTATTGTTTTATTCATTGGTGCAAAATCTGATTTCACACTCAAGATAATTTTAACATAGCCAAAACAAAAAAAAATGGTCTAAAGACTTTAGACAGTACTTCTCTCACTATCGAAAACGTGACGACTGCCTGTCTATTATGTTTTTTTTTTTCGCAGTAGATTTCAAAGCATTCGGTTTTGTAGTTTCTGAGTAAATCCTATCTATTTAATGGAATGATAAATCACAGAAGAAACTCATCATATTTTCTACATTTTAGACAGCAAAATTTTGGGGTGACGTCATAAATTTTTTAGGGGACATAAGCAAATACATTTTGATCAAAAATTTACCACGCTTATGATAACTTTAAAACATCTCCAAGATTTTAAAGCAATCGGTTTTGTAGTTCTTGAGTAAATCAATAAAATAAATTTACGCATTCCCTCGCTGTGGGAAACGTGACGAGTGCATGCCTATTGTGTATTTTTTCGCATTACATTTTTGTACCGAGGCATTTTAAAATAAATTGAATTAATTTTTTCAATTTTGTCATTATTTGGCATTGATATCTTTGTCATTTTTTTTCTGTGATTGCTATGATTGCGTATTAAAAAAAAAATTAAATTGCACGAAGTCGTCTCGGGGTGTGTAATATGTTTCCTATGCAAAAATTGTCAGGTGCGAACAGATAAAGTGAACAGATAAAATGAACACCCTGTATAGTACTTGTAATTTAAGACAAATAGCCATAACACTTATCAACCTGTAGACGTGACGGTGAAATGCAAACGAAACTAAAACATGGTTTCTACGAATTGCAATAACCGGATGACAATGCGACGGTCCAGTATTTTTTATTGCTCTGACTTCCGTTTATTGAATAAAACACTACATTTTATTAATTTTTTGGATGCTGTAATTCATATTTGGTTAATTATAACCTGTCTATATCTAGGGGAACATCCCCTAGCCACCCCTAGCTACGGCCTTATGAAATACCGAGAAACGGGTACCAAATTGACCAATGGACTCCATTACTGTACGTCCTTTGATTATCTTCGATAAGGAAAAAAACTTGAGAGTGTTTATGTTTATACATCGGAAGAATGTCACGTAGAAATTAGTTTGATTTGAATACGTTTGACCCCTCAAAATAGAGGAACAAAACAATTAATTAGTAACCTACAATCGACAAAATATTCTAAGTATCATTATTATAATTCTTATTTAATAAAGATGTTTGTATTTTTACATTCTTAATTTGATCAATAAAAAATATGAATGGTATGATGAATCACAAGTAAAAACTCATATTTTGCACATTTTGGGTAGAATTTATTCCGCAAAATTTTGAGATTACGTCATCAATTATTCGGGGGAAATAATAGTTATTTATATATCAAGGGAGCAAAGTGAAACATTTCCTCCCGCGGTTTCAGGATTCTTTACACATTTAAGATAGCATTTTTTCAGCAAAATTGTGGGGTGGTATCATCAATTTTTTAGGGGGGATGAGCAAATACATTTTGAACAAAAATTTACCATGCTTATGATAAATTTAAAACATCTCCAAGATTTCAAATCAGTCGGTTTTGTAGTTTCTGATTAAATCAATAAAATAAATTCACACATTCATGAATACTTTTGAGTCACCCTGTATATGCAAATCCAAAAAATATGAATGGAATGATAAATCACAACTACAGGCTTATCATATTTTGTACATTTTAGACAGGATTTATTCAGCAAAATTTTGGGGTGACGTCATCAATTTTTTAGGGAAGATGAGCAAATACATTTCGATCAAAAATTTACCATGCTTATGATAAATTTAAAACATCTCCAAGATTCCAAGACATCCGGTTTTGTAGTTCCTGATTAAATCAATAAAATAAATTCACGCATTTACTAATATTTTTGAGTTACCCTGTATATGCAAATCCAAAAAATATGAATGCAATGATAAATCACAAGTACAGACTCAACATATTTTGTTTATTTTAGGTTGGATTTATTCGGCAAAATTTTTAGATGACGTCATCAATTTTTTGGGATTGATACACAGATACATTTTGATTAAAAAGTTACCATGCTTACAATAACGTCTGCAAGATTTCAAAGTATTCAGTTTTGCAATCCTTGATCTAATGAAGAAAATAAATTGACTAGAGATGTACCGACTAGTGGCCGACCGGTCGGATAAACCGACTATTCGGCCATTTTTCATCGTCGGCTAAACAGCCGATCGGTCGGCTTTTTTTATTAGAAGTAAAATAGTATATAAAACAATTAAACCTGGTTTACAGAACCTCAATTAAATATTTAATTTTGATTTAATTTTTAACCTCGCCTTGAAGTACCATGTGACCGACTCTACGCCAATCAGACGTCGCCAATGGCCTTGTTAAATGTGCGATCAACTTAATCTCAGTTAAAATATTGTATAAACGGGCCCTAAATTGTGTTATTCTTTATTTTTGTACTGAGTTACTAAAAAAAATTAAATGTTAAAATTATCCAAACAAATTTAACATATTTTTTGGAAAACAAAGGAACTTTAGTTATTCCTTTTATTAAAATAAAACAAATTTTTAAGGTAGTCAGAGAAATAGAAAAAAAACACTGTCTGTCGCATTTATAAACCGGTTTTAGCAAAGCCGAACAGTCGGCCGACTAGTCGGTTTTTACTCGCCGAACAATCGGCTAGTCGGTTAGTCGGCCAGACCTACAGTCGGTACATCTCTAAAATTGACTCATTCATTAATTTTTTTGAGTCACCCTGTATATGCAAACCCAAAAAATATAAATGGAAAGATAAATCACAAGTACAGATTCATCATATTTTGTACATTTTAGATAGGATTTATTCGGCAAACTCTTGAGCTGACGTCATTAATTTTTTGGAGGGGATAAGTAAATATATTGTGATTAACATTTTATCATGCCTGTCATAACTGTAAACCATCTGAAAGATTTCAAAGCATTCGGTTTTGTAGATTCCAAATTAAATGTCAAAATGTTGTTTCCTAATTTTGATTTTTTTTCCAAAAATCTGGTCATTTCGGGTAAAGTCTCAATTCGGAGTCATAAAATACATGTGTAAGACTATGTTATTTGATACAATTTAAAACTCAATTACTATGTACAATTTTGAAGTGACGTCATCACATTAGTGGTGGGGATGATTAGACAAATTTTGGTTAGCGTTTTACCATCTACATGATATACCTAATATAAATACAAAATTTGACAACAATCGGCCCAGTACTTTCGGAGATTGTATGTCTAATAAAAATCCGGGACAGCAGACAGACGGATAGACAGACGCACAGACGGACGGACAGAGGGAGAAGGCTGTAGCTAGGGGGAGGCTAGGGGATGCTCCCCTAGATCTATACAAGTTATAGTTAACCAAATGTGAATGCTGTACCATAAACCGAAAAAATGTAGTGTTTTATTCACTAAACGGAAGTCTGGACATTCTGCATTGTCATCCAGTTATTCCAATTTGTAGAAGACATGTCTTAGTTTAGTTTGTATTTCACCGTCACGTCTACAGGTTTATAAGTGTTATGGCTATTTGTCTTAAAATACAAGTACTATACAGGGTGTTCCTTTTATCTGTTCAAGACTGACAATTTTTGCATAGGCAACATAGTTATTATACACCCCAGAGAAGACTTCGTCCAATTTAATTTTGTTTTAATAAGCAATCATAGCAATCACAAAAAAAAATTATTAAGATGTCAATGCTAAATAATGACAAAATTGAAAAAATCAATTCTCAATTTATTTTAAAAT